ATAGATAAAACTATTTACATTCGGCAATCATGAAAAAAAATCCGAGATAACGGTTGACTAGGTAACAATGTGTAATTAGACCAAAGGTTCATTTTGCGCCGGAGTTGTCCTTTAACATTTTGGATGCCTGAAAACGCAATCTTTTGAAAATGAGTATCAAAGAGCACGTTTTTGAAAAAAGGTCTCTGTGTAAACAACAAAAACTGAAGACGATTACGTGTTCAGTCTAGTGTTTCATTACCATCTAACGGCCTGGCAGCAGAATACAGAGTTTTTAGTCGTTTTCACAGATCCAATGGGGATTGTTTGAAAAAGGTGTCGTTTTTATGTGGAAAACTCAAGCATATCGTTTAAGCACATCGTTGTCGTGTAAACTTACCCTTAGAACACCACACCGCACAACACTACAAATACACAGCTGTTGACAGCTGTTCTGGAACATATTAAGAAAATAACACTCCAGTGAGTAGAGAAAGTATTGTGCACAGAGTGATAAAAAGCGGAAATTGTAATAGATTACAGATATATCTCAGAAATAAATATCCAGCACCAGCCACAGTGATGAGGTTTTGTGAAAATGCCCAGGCACTCCTTTCAAACACCCCCCCCCCTATCTCTCTCTCTCTCTCTCTCTCTCTCTCTCTCTCTCTCTCTCTCTCTCTCTCTCTCTCTCTCTCTCTCTCTCTCTCTCTCTCTCAGTCTCTCTCTCAGTCTCTGTCTCCCAAACCCTCCTGCAACCCAATTACTCAAACAGCACTACAAGTAAGCAGTGCGTGAATACCAAATGCAGTATAATTGATTACTTAATTTATGAAAGAACCAGCATTTTTTTTTTTTTTTTTAATGCACATTATTTATTGCGCAAATGTTTACTCAATTCAGCTGATATATGAGTCTTCCGCTGTGGGTCAAACTCAATAGTTGTCGTTTATTTCTTTATTTCTTTTTATTTTTTATATATATATTTTTTTATGACGGATAAAACAAAAGTCTTATTTATGAATAATTTCTCATTCTTTTGCATTTATCTTTAAAGAAATATCAGAGGAGTTGAATCAGAAGACATGTCTGCAATGGGTATTTCTTGTTATGACATTAAAGATGTAGCAATGATATGCTTCTTGTTACTATTCAGCAAGCAAGATGTTAAAGTGAAATGACAGCGAGACTCTACGGGGAGTTTGTCATCATTGCATTCTGATGTAAACCTCGGGGAGTGCCTGGGAAATGCAAATAAAATGCATTTGTATCAGAGCAATCTTGAGAGGACATATCAGTGAGGCGGGTGGATATGTAATAAAACCGTCTTCCAGATGTCTTCCACTATGGTACGGGGCTGTTTAGCTGCTGGCCTGCAGACTTGCCCTCCCTTGACCCCACACTGCTGCCTCTTCCAAAGCTATGCCAGTTTTAATTTGCAGTTTTGTGCTTCTCTCATTCCTACCCATAATCCTCCTGTGCAGAGCAAAGCCCAGCCAAAAGAACCACGGCTTTTCTACATCACCAGGCCAGCAGCTGATCTCTTCTGACATTTGTGGCAGAAAATGACTCTAGGATGTTTTTCTTCCATCCCCATTAGCCAGCATGATTTGGATCCGATCGAAGGCATGCAGAACAGAGTGAGGGCAGCGATATCTTGGTTGGTATTTGTAACATGCTTAAAATAAGTCAATAAGTCATTCTAAAATGATCATGTGCTTGATGCCTTGTTACAATCAAAAGATCATTGCTGTCTATATTTAATATTTCATCAGTTTACAGAGTGTAAAAACACACACACACACACACACACATATATATATATATATATATATATATATATATATATACATATATATATATATATATATATATATATATATATATATATATATATATATATATATATATATATATATATATATAAACACATAACCTAAGTGAATCTTAGGCATAGCCTATATATAAAGGAATAGTTTACTTCCAGGTGGCACTCTAAAAACTTCATTTCTTGATGTCAGGGCTATTTTAGATTGAGGCTCATTTGAGCTGTAACTCAAGACTGGCTATCTCGTTGCCTGTCCTCTCAAATGTCACTGTAAAGAACTCAGTAAGTAAGTTTCTGCTTCAGCTCATTTCATTCTCTTCTTCTTCTTCTTCTTCTTCTTCTTCAGCGGACATCTTCTGTAGTGAGACATTATCATTTTATCACAGCATCTGCAGGGGTTTTATAAGGCTTAAAGGAGTAGTTCACTTTAAAAAAAAAAAAGAACTTTTGCTGATGATTTACTCACCCCCATGTCATCCAAGATGCCCACGTCTTTCTTTCTTCAGTCGAAAAGAAATGAAGGATTTTGATGAAAACATTCCAGGATTTTTCCATATAAAGGACTTCAATGGGAACCAAACGGTTCAAGGTCCAAAGGAGCGTTTCAGTGCAGCTTCAAAGGGCTTTAAACGACACCAGACGATGAATAAGGGTCTTATCTAGGACCCTTCGAGTCATGACTCGAAAAAAAGATTTGTTTATTTTGATGAACGAGTTTGAACAGAGGGTCACGAACGCTTTTCATAGAACAGAGCAAGGTGAGCATTTGTGCTTATAAAACTTAAACTTTTTTTATTATTTTTTTAAATGACCAATTTTTTCGCTAGATAAGACCCTTATTCATTGTCTGGTGTCGTTTAAAGACCTTTGAAGCTGCACTGAAACTCTCATTTGGACCTTGAATGGACCATTGAAGTCCATTTATTGGACCATTGAAGTCCATTATGTGGAGAAAAATCCTGGAATGTTTGCATCAAAAACCTTAATTTCTTTTCGACTGAAGAAAGACAGTCATGGACATCTTGGATGACATGGGGGTGAGTAAATTATCAGCAAAAGTTTTTTTTTTTTTAGGGAACTACTCCTTTAAGATCAGGCCCACATCTTATGTTTTTCCATGCTGCTTTTATTGCTTAGCTTTGGAGGACACTTGGATGGATTTGATCAATAATTAAAAATGATGTCACAATCTTTTTGGTACTACTGTAGATAGACGTAGGGATGGCTGACGTGGAATTGTTGTTCCGAAGCAGATGTTTCGAAACATCCGAAGTGTGATTCAAAACACCCATGTCACGTGACTACAGCTAAATGTAGCTTCTGAGTGTTTCGAGGTGGAGTGCTACGCCGATTCAGAGTTTGATTGACAGGGTTGGTAACAGAACACACAATCGCACATCCGTATAAGTGAAGTCAACTCATCTTGACCTTGTGGGTTTTTGTGAGAGGATTTTTTGACTGAAATAAACCACACTAAATGGTAATTTTCTGGAGAGAGAGTATTATGTACACAGTAGGGGGGTAGGCTACACTGCAGTGATGTGATGAGCGTACAGATACGGCACTGTTATGATATGATATTGATGTTTATATATGTTTATGTTTTTATAGGTCTGGTGAGACCAAAGAAAATTGTCCAGTCTTCCAAAGAAGAGAAAGTAATATTTTTATTAAGAATCTATAAAAAGTAAAACATTGTGGCTTGATTTCTTGGACCAAAATAACATTCTGCACAGTGAGGAGCCTACAGGTTGCAAGCTTCACATATTAGAAAAAATATCTATATATATATACATTTTTGTTCGCTCGTTGTCAAGGTTGTTTCATATCAACACCTGCTAGTGACCACTAGGTGTACAGTGGAGAAGGATGCTTTCATTGCTTCACGAAGTCTCGATCTGCCCAACACTAGATAGATGTCTTTTGGAAATGAAAATGACCTTTGTACTATTACAGAAAATGTAAAATTATGATTGACAGATGTAAATAGGCTATACGTCCACAAGTGACGCGAATTCTAGGAAATAGCGCTGAAGAAGTCTCATTCTGAACACATCACGATATCTGGCATCAGTTCACATCACGTGTGCCAGTCGGTAAGTAGTCGTAAATAAACTGTCCTGTCAATGTTTAATATATTGCATTTTCTGTTTGTCAATATTAATCAGATTAGTTCATGTTCAGTCACTACATTACGAGGGCTTGGAGCCAGAGGGGCGTAAGTGGCATTTTGGGGCGAATATAAGTTCTTTATATCAAAATAAAGGTCTCGATGAGCTCTATCCAATGGTGCCAACAATACCAATCTGAGATCAAACTTTATTGAATAAAGCAACAAAAATGCGTATCTGACGTATTTGACTTTTTGTTTTTTTGAAAATGTTTTAGAACATGTTCAGTGTGTTAAAATGCCATACATTTTTACTTAAATACTCATTTCATGTAAGTATGCCTGTGGTTGCAATGTCTATGGTTTAAGGTTAATAATAAAGGTGATTGAAGCGTGGTCAAAATTTTGTTTTGTCTCTCCTGTAAAGTTTGTTAAAAGCCACTTATGCCCTTCTGGCTCCAAGCCCTCGATATATCTGTCATTTCCACTGAAGCTTTGTGTTTCATTGCTTTCTAATTCAAAACAGGTTGATTAAACACTGTCTGTCACTTGACGTGCTATAGGCCTAGACCAGGGCTATTCAATCGGCGGCCCGCGGGCCAATATTTATATTGAATACTATGTTATTATTGTGTAGACATGACCAGAGCAAAGACAGGAGACACCGCTTGAAGTCAATGAAATCTTTATTGACTTCCAAATAAAGAATATCAAATAAAAACCAAATAACATAAACAAAACTCACTCAAGGTGACCCTCCTCACCAGACAAACATACATTCCTTTATTCTGAAAGGGTAAACCATTTTACAGTAATAGGGAAATTATATAATGTTCACACACATAATACATAACTACACTTAAAATGAAAATAATATTCAAAATACATCAACCTTAATTATGCAAGGAAAATAATATGAATAATAAACAAATACATTTCTACATACAATGAACATAAACACAATAAAACATGAAACAATAACCCCCTGCTCCCATTGAGAAATGGACTATGCCTACACTACCCAGAATTCTTTGGGATGGCATAAAATGAGGAACAGGAAGGCCGCCCGTCCTCTTAAACACCCCCCGGAAACCATGCAGTAGACGTGAACCCAGAAGGTTAGTTTTGCAAATGAGGATAAAACTAATGAATATGTGAATACTAAAATAAAAGAAATAAATCTCTTGGTGTTTTTTATCAGTCTAATGTGCACCTCAGACTAGAAAAAGTCACCAAATTATGAGAAACAAACATTTATAAAAAAGAATATAAAGCAAACAGACACAGGGCATACACTGCCATCAGGGGTAACTTAGGACTTTGTCACAGTTAGTCATTTGGTCAAAAGTTTTAGATCGGTAAGATTTTTTACATTTTTACATGAAGTATCTGCTCACCAAGGCTGCCTTATTTGATGAAAAAAATGTTTAATATATTTTAAAATGTAATTTGAAAACTGAATTTTCAACATCATTATTGTTGCTAATTACACATCAGTTTTCAGTGTCACATGATCCTTCAGAAATCATTCTAATATGCTGATTTTATGCTCAAAAACATAAATTATTATTTTCAATGTTGCATTTATTTAAAATATAATATTTTCTAACATTATAAATGTCTTTAATTTTGATCAATTTAACTCATCCTTTATGAATAAAAGTATATTCTAATTTCTTTCCCCCAAAAATCTAAAATAAATTCTTACTGACCCCAAACTTTTGAATGGTAGTGACTAATGTTACAAAAGCTTTCCAGTAGATCAATTCTGTTCTTTTGAACTTTCTATACATAAAAAAAAAAAAAAAATCCTAAAATATAAATCTTAAAAAAACTGTTTTCAACATGTATAATAATCATAAATGTTTCTTGATCTTCATATTATAATAATTTCTGTAGGACACTTAAGACTGGAGTAATGATGCTGTAAATTCAGCTTTGATCACATGAATAAATTACACTTTACTGTATATTCACATAGAGAACATGCTGTTTTAAATTGTAATAGTATTTTTTTTTTGTATTTTTTTTTTTTTATCAAATAATTGCAGCCTTGTTGAGCAGAAGAGACTTCTTTTAAAAACATAAAAAATTCTTACCGATCAAAAACTTTTGACTCAGTAGTGTATACTGCATTCGATTTATTAGGGGGGTAGAGTAATATATAATTCATTGTGAGTAAAGTCTTTACCTGTTTAGGCATTGTTTATGGTTTTTAACGTTTTTTTTTTGTTTTGTTTGTTTGTTTGTTTTTTTAGGCATTTTTTATTGTTAAGTCTCACTGTCAGGATATAATAATTATTCATAAAATAATTCTTACCAGCCATGATATTGTATAATTCATATATTTGTAGCTGTAAATACTGTAGTTATTTATTATGGTCTGCATTATGTTTGGTACCACATTGCAAGTAAATGCAATACTTTTTTTGGTTTACTTTAGCTTACTTATTGATACTGTTATGTTTAAATAAATGAGCTAAACCCACCGGCCCACCTCAACTTTTTGATTTAATAATCTGGCCCTGGAATGAAACTAATTGAATAGCCTTGGCCTAGACCTTCAATCAGTTTATCATATTTGTATTGATGATAGTACAATTAGTTCCAAAGTTGTATTTTTAGTAGAAGTACAATAAAAAAAACACCACACTTTTACCACACTTGGTAGTTTTAATGTGACTTACCCCAAAGTAACCCTATAGTTTACTGTGATAGGTAAAACGTGTTGTTGTTTTTTTTGTTTTTGCATTTATTTATTTTTTGGCAAATTGTTTTTGCAATCCCGTTTGCAATTGAATCGTGTTATTTTTAAACAAGTTCATATGATTATTGCTTGCAATTAAAGACATAATTTTATTCATAGAAATGCCCACATATCAGTGACTTATAACATAAAAATGCTTTTAACATTTAATTATGCAACACTCTTTACAGAAGTAAATCCTACAGTTAAACTGACTGCTTGAAAGTAATATATTAAAATTACATTTCTTTATGTTTTGCAGGATTACTTGGTCCTTTTTTTTATGATCTCCACAACATCAAACTCAACAACCTTCAAAAAAGCCACTAGTTCTCAGCAAGTCTTGCTGTGATAAGCCCTTCCCAGGTAAAGGTTTCTAAAATATTTCAAATTAGTATTTACTCACCAAATGCTCTCTTCTGAATCATATGGTAAATGAACTTAATTATAACCATCTTAATTGATATGTTTCAAGAACAATATCATTGCACATTGAGTAAGTCGAGACTTTCTTGTTTGTTTTAGAGCAGAGAAGGAAGACCAGTTCTTATATCAACGCAAGCTAATTGAATAAGTCATTTGTTTTGGATGAAGAAGAAACATCTGGTGCCCAAAGAAGACAAAAAGGTGAGTGAGTCTTGTATTTAAACAATGCTGTAATATGTACAGAATTTATGTTGACAATTTGAAATTGTACAGGTATCACTTGGGTTTTGACCACAAAAAAGTTGACTCTTGAAACAAGTGACAGAAGAGTATGTTGTCCTGAAAGAAATCAAATCACTTGCAAAGGTTCAAAAGAGAGCATATCTTTCTTAAAGATATTTTAGGTTGCTGTTGATATGGGTAAAACTGTTTTTTTGTTCAGTCAGTGCTTAGTTTATATTATGTGGTATTATATATTGAAGAACATTAACATGATAGAGACAGGGAAGTGCAAGAAACCAGTTTAGCTGTGATAATGAATCATTATTTTCCAACACAATATCAGATCTGTTTTCTGTATCATTGGTAACTGAATGGGATTATCTGGCACTCATTTTGTCGCTTCAGCAGCTGTGAATGGATTAATATGATGTTTTGTATTTTTGTAGACACATTTTTATTGATCTTGAATCTCATAGTCTTTATGCTGCTTTATCAGCTACATATAATTAATTACCATGATTATTTTTCTTAGGAAATACCTTGTATTATTTTTTTTTTTCTAGTTTATGATATTTGAGACAACAATGCAACAAAAGTTGCACATACTTGCATAGTGTAATAAAGAGAAGGTATGTGAATAAAAAGAGGCTGCAGTGAGCTATCCTGCTATACACACTTCAGCATAGTTGAAGATGATCCTAGTACATTGATCTTAGTACATCTACTGCATTTAAAAGGAAAGCATAGACATTTCTTATGTCAGGTACATAGGAGCAATCAGGAGCATTTTTTTTTTTTTTTTTTTTTTTTTTTTGTCATTTTACTGAATGGTGCATTATCCTGGTGTAATAGTGTAAAATATAAAATCTGTTTAGATTGCACTGCCCCCAGGGACCCCTTCTGCCCCCAGGGGCCCAGCAACGGCCCACAGAAATTTCAAATGGCTGTAACTCAAAGTCCGGTTAGTGTATCAAAGAGAAAATCGACAGGACAACTGCTTATATGGTTTTCTTAAAAATATTGGGCGCAGTTTTCAGACATTTATGGAAAGCTGGCATAAAAATAAAGTGCTCAAAATATCACATTTCAGCCTGTCCCTCATATATGTCATAAAGGTTTGCACAATGAAGAAATTTAGATATCCAGTTGTCCATTAAAAATATGATTTACTTAACATTTATTATTTTATTACTAAACTTTTTAAAGCCACATATCTCTGTCATTCAATCAACGGAACAGGAAACATTGTGGCGTAGTTCATTAAATGAGCAGACAGGGTTAAGGCTGAGTTCTCGGTAAATGAGTCATTTCTCGCAACATGACACTTTATAGTTAACTTAATGTATAACTAATGTAATAACACCGAAACATACTTTTAACATGAAGAGCCGTTTTAAATGAATTAAACAATAGTCCAATCACGTTGAGCTCTGTGATAAAACAAAAGACTTACCATCAAAAAGTGAGTTCACATGATCAATGACTTATTTGATTAGACTGATGCATAAATACATTTGAAAGATAAACTGTATTCTAAGCAATGGCCTACAGCAGGGGAAGTTTTGCGGCTTTTAATTAATGATAATTGCATGTACTAAAGTGCTTCTAACATCTAGAGTGTATGTATAGTACATCAAAGGTATATCAATTATATTCAAACAATGTAACAAAATCATAATGAATGCACACAATTTTGAAAGCATATTCCAATATTTAATGTCAAACTATGTTATATTTTTACAAACCAAGAGATGAGATTCAACTTTATGTGAAAATATCTGTTTATTCCCTTTAAAGAACAAAATAGGCAACAACTTAAGCAATCAATTTTACATTCTCAACTTAAATTCTGTATCCTTTTGATTATAGGTCACATTACATTTACCAGGTTTTGATATAATGATATAGATGTAGTTATGGTGGACATTTACTGTATAGTGACTATACTGTAATAAAATGTTAAATGAAGCTAAATGTAAGAAATTAAGTCCATCTAAATGTAAAGGTAACAAACCCAGAATAATGTCCAGTAATTTCTGTAATATTCTTTCAGCACCAACAAAATAAAAAAAATAAAAATAAAAATCCTAAAATATTGATGGTTCTCAGAAGGTTTTCGTGTTTCGGGCAAACACCTGGTGCAGAAATATACATTTCTCTATTGCATCAAGTCACTGTATAAAACATATTCATTGCCATCTATTAGTTAATGGATGGCAATGAATCTGTCCTTTAGCAAAACACCTGATGAGCACTGACGCTTCTTTGATAAAGGCATTAGGCAGATATCAAATTCAGTTTATGAAGCTAAGGAGACTTTAAGCCCGGTTTTTGCACTTCCTGTCTGATGTCTGAGCAACTGCGCAAGCTCAAACTGAGCGTGGCGACAGTCTAACAGTTGTAAATCTTCTAGTAGCTGTGCCAAGCCAAAACATTGTTGAAATATTTTGTCCCGTTGCTTTTATGGACTCTCTATCTAAGCTTCTCCCTCGACTTTATGCCTCAATGCCCCCCCACCCCGATTGCCTCAGACAGTAAAAGATTGCCTGCAAGCTTCTCTTCCTGGCTATACGGTTTTGTGCGACAGAAAGTTGCATAGTGATGACAAAATTGTTATGCCTATTTTTCAAAAAAACGGCCTCTACGGGTCCATAACGTAAGATACAAAGTAATGGAGCATTTTATACATTGTCATGTTTCTTTAGAAATAAATAATGGACAAATGAAGTCTTTGGACGCCTCAGATGTAAAGTTATTTGCTTTCAAAGTGACACCAAAATGAATGGGAGTCAATGGGTTGCTTACAGCAGGTGAAGTTCTGCTACAATGGCGGCTCCCGCGTTTGAGAGCGTTTTGGTAGTACAGCGTGTGTTTTTTTTGTTGTTTTTTTTCACTGAGATGTTTCGTTGCTATGATACAGAATATCCTTTGGCGTCATAATTCTGACGCCATGGGCGCTTGATCATGCTTATTATTATGTGTTTTATTTATTTATTTATTTATTTATTTTTACACGTTGGGAGTGAGAATGTGGTTTGTGGAATAAGAGGATCTCTTTTTATAAAAAAATAGTTACAGAAGCTGTGAGTGGAAGATCAGTAAAATTCATAAAGTAAGACACCATTAATTGAGGATCCAGTTTTAGCTCTAGCCAAGAATGTCTTAAACATTTAAAATCACAGTGATAAAGTGGTGGGTCAAGCAAATGAGTTCATCTCAATAGGTAATTATGTTCAATAATGGAATTCCTCTGTAAAGCACCAAACGTAAGAGCTGAATAGGTTGTTAGCTGATTAGTTTCTTTAAGTATTTCATTACTTCAGGTTTAAAATTATGTGATAAATGAAAAAATTAGTGAATTTATGAAATTAGCTTGCCAGCACAAATATTCAATCATGTACTGTTTTATACTTAAACACTTTTAAACACTTATCCAAAATGACTTCCAAATGAGAACAATACCTGTAATTGATCATACAGGAGGCAGCAATATAATACAAGAGTAGAGATGCCACTGCAGACAAAATTGTATTATTATATTTAAAAACAATAAGTAATAATTATTGTTATTGTGTTAATAGTATAGTAATAATTATTGTTATTGTGTTAATAGTATAGTCTTTATTTATGGTTATGGTTGAATTGAATGCACATGGAAGAGGTACTTCAGCCAATTCTTAATCATAATTATCATGCCCCCTTTTTTGAATAAACATGAAAATGCACAATCTGAACTTAAATGGTTGCATTTCAAGAATGCTTTTGGAATATAGATGCAAGATTGGTCTCGTAAGGAGGACATTTGGCAGATTTATTTAGTCATCATCAATGATCTGTTATCATTTACTCACCCTCAAGTTGTTTCATTTTTCTGATGAACACAAAGAAAGTTATTTTGAAGAACGATTGGAACTTTGGCACCATTGACTTAGTCACCATTGACTAATGGTGCCAAAGAACTGTTTGGTTCCAATCGTTCTTCAAAATATTTTCCTTTGTGTTCAGCAGAAGAAAGAAGCTCAAACAGGTTTGCAACAACTTGAGGGTGAGTAAACGATGACAGAATTTAAGTAGGCATCCTATTTAGAAGTAGTAAGGGAAGTTTGGCATATTTTGATAAGAATTTGACCTCTAATAATCACATAAAAACAACATGCATATATGTTATTTTTATTGAATTTATTTATTTATTTATTTTATTATTATTTAGAGAAACAGGGACAGCGTACAATAAACATTAACCTCAAGGGGAGAGATGCACTAGGTTTTAGCTCAAGAGCTAAAATCCATCCACAGTCACAGGGCAGGCTGATGTTATAATAAAATACATAATACATACATGTATAATGAAATTTACCTTGACCAAATAAATAATTGCCAACTTGCCAAATTAAAACAAGTCTTCACATGCATGACATCGGTCATGTGGGTGCAAATTTTATTTGACAAAAGCCATTTCTTTGCCAGACATGAGAATGCATAAGAATTTGTGCTTCTTATCAGCTCTATTGGCAACATATTCCACTGACGAGCAGCCACACAAGAAAAAGCACAGTTTCCAAATGCAGTCCTGCCTTTAGGGATCCTGCATTCGCCTATATATATATATATATATATATATATATGTTTTTCATACTGACACTAAAGGGTGCCATGTGCGTTGGATGTAGACAAAATGTCAAAAGCGTCAGTATATGATGCCTTGGGATGAGAACGGGCTGAAAGAGCAGGGGGCCCATAATGGAGCCTTGTGGCACTCCAATGCTGCATGGTCTCATGATTTTATATTGTCGACTGTAACACATTGTTGTCTGTCATTAAGGTTAGATTGAATCCATGCTATTGGGTTTGTGTCAAGAGAAAAAAAAAAACAGATTTGCTAGATGAGAAGCTGGTGATTAACTGTGTCGAAGGCCTTTCTCAAGTCCAGAAAGATTGCCCCTAGCACAACTCTAGTAAGTAGAAGCACGCAG